CCGACCATGATCAACGGCCTGTAAACAGGGCGGAGCGGAAACTAGGTCTTTCCGCCCGCCGCACACAAAAGTAGACTGGAGACAAGGCCTCGCCAGCTACCCAAATTGCTATTGAATATCATTGTTATCTTTACAAGTTAATATTTATAATTATTTCACTCTGTAATGTATCACACATACTTAAATATTCTAAATCTTTTTATCTCAACTGTCTGTAAGAAAACATTTTTCTGTAGACTAAAATAAATAAATAAATAAATAAATAGCTAATTAGAAGTTATTTATTTATTGTAATCCCGCAAAAACCTACCTATAAGTTGGTTATTTTAATCAATTGATAATTGTTTTCTGCAGGGTAGTACTGTCGGCAAAAGGTCTAGTTCTACGCTAGCTCTGAGCTAGTCAGATTTTCAGCAGAGTATTTATAAACGTATGTGAACGTTCATTTGTACGTTTTTATTGATATATCTGTACTTTAATGTTTTCGGACGGTACTACCTCTTATTACCAATATAGGAGTATTTAAAAAAAAGTAATTTTGCTGACTTTTCTCCCATGAGGCGATTTCTTAGAGGTTCGTATATAAGGCCGGCTGCACTGAACAATTGCTCACTTGGAACACTGGCGGTTGGAGAGCTCAAATATTTGCGGGCCAGATCTGTCAATTTTTCGCATTTTAGTTTTGTTTTCCACCAATCGAGAGGATTTTCACCGAGATGAGCTCGTTTTTCTTTAAGATAGGCCTTCAATTGAGCTTTAATTTGACATTTTTTGATGTCTCCAGATTCTAAATCCATGCCTTCTCTTTCGCTTGAGGATTCTAAAATTATTTCTAGGTTGCTTATAAGACTTAGCAGCACTTGTTGAAGGCCCATCAATGTTGCTAGATATACTACTTAAGCGCCTGAAGCTAAAAGCCGGTTATTGTCCGCACCCTGGTTAGACAGACTTAGAGCCATTTCAACAATGTTATAGTGGACTCTCTGCCAATGTACACATTCGCATTCGCAAAACATTCGTATCATTTGATGCGAATGCGAGTGTCGAATGCGAATGCGTAAAACGATGCGAATCATTCGCATAACGAATGCGAATGCAAATATTCGCAACATCCCTGGTATGTATGTATATCAGAGCCATTATGTAGAAAATAAAGGCGGCGTCATCCGCGGACCGCTAACTCTTCGTCGATTTGACAGCATTCACCTATTGACGTCATAAAAACTTTTTTCGCAAATTAAATTTTCAAATTGTACTTATTTGCTGAACAAATTTTACCTAAAACTGAAATAAATCTACCTAAAAATTAAATATGTTTTTTATGTGTATACATTTTTGATAGTGGGTGGCAACCTCTCTCTTCGGTACCATGTCTACTTTTGGACTCACATCAAAAAATCTTTTCTATTAAAAATTTCCTTGAAAGGAATTTCTCCGAGCAGTTCCAGCTAAAATTATGTATGTAGGTTGAGCAAGTGGCCCCGCCACTGTTGCTTTTCTTTATTCAAAACGCGAAAATTTTTGAGTTTACTGCTTGGTGCGTTTTTTTGATGCTTTTTAGTTTGTAAATCTTAAAAAAAAAATCTAAGCTAAATTAATAGCAATCGTAAAAATTTTAGCAACTTTATAAAAATGGAAACATAATCGTAAGGGAGCATATGTTTGCCAACAAATTTTTAACACAAAGATTTTTCCCACTATGCGCTCAAATAAGGCACATTAAAAAGGGAAATCAAATTTCGTTATGTTTCAGGTGCAGCGTTGCCATTTTGCTTAAATTTAGGCAAAATTTATTAATATTTTCCTGCGTGTTAAATTTTTGTTGAATTTTTCTTCGTTTGCTAAAGTTTTTGATTAAAATAGTCAAAAGGGATAATTTGCCTCAAAAATTTATAGTTAGAAGAGTTACCATTTCAATCAATTTTACTTTAGAAAGGCTATCATCCAGATCGCGTATAAAGTTCCAATAAATGTTGCTCTACGCAACTCCCGATCCGCGGTCATCGCATTGGCAAACCTCTCAGTGTACTTCTGCCATGAAATCGCTTCTCATAAAAACCATTTGCCGTTCGGAGGCGAGCTAGAACTTTAGGTCCCTTCATTTCCGTTACACGATCAACCCGCATATTAGGATTACATGATACCAAACTCGTTCTATGCATGCATTCAAAAAAACTAGCGAAGGGGCAGCCAACTATTATAAGATTATACATATGTATGTTGAAAGAATGTGTAATAGTTTTCAAACTAAGCACCTGTTACAACATAAAATCCTTACTTTTGACGACAAAACTAAGCCTTAGATTGCCTTTACTTACTTACTTGCTAACTCCTTATTTCTATAACCAATTTACCCATCGGCGTAGCCAGAATGAAATTTAGGGGAGGGCTCGACCCTATTAAGCTGACATTTCAGGGTACTATTTTATATATATATAAGGAAAATTTTAAAGCTAGGGGGGGGGGGGGGGGCCCGAGCACCCCCCTGCCCCTAACTGGCTACGCCCATGAATTTACCAAGTTTGAGAAGAAACAAACATTGACGTTTTTCATTTTATGACCTGTTAAATAAGTTGCTTAATTTTAACGGGATTTGTTAATTTTTTTTAACGATTTTGGTAAATTTTATTTTTCAGGCGCGACAACACTGTTCAGGTGTCAAGCAGTCGGAAAGAAACGACAGTTGCCAGAGTGTCAGACCCCTTGCCCAATTTGGTGAATACCTCTTATGTTTTAACCAATGTTTATGCCCCTTGGTAAAAGAGGGAGGATATTGGAGAAGCCGTTTAAATGCCAATGAAAATAAGAGAAATTTTCCCGGTAAGATATTTGGCTCCTAAATGTATCTAAAATTGTGTGCTTGTACCGAATAAATGATTTAATGTCGTAGTAATTTAAAAATTTAACAAACTGCGATGAAATTCATTGTCAGGACTTTACCATACTTCTTCGTAGACGAAAAGCTCTAGTTAGCTTGCCAAATAGAGCGTAGAGTTGTCGTAGAGTTTTCGCTCTAGTTGCGATGGACTGTGTACTCGACGAAAAAGTCAGGCGAAATAACTCTCACGTATACTGTGTAGGTGAGTCTCTCATAGAGCTCTATTAAGTGTTTACACGTCTGTTTTCTCTCTAAATCTAGCGTTTTTTCACTACCGTGTACACTTAGCTTAACACTTATTTTTTCTCACCCAGGGATGAGTGTCCGAAACCAACAACACATTGAAATTATATGCAAATAACCCTTTCCCACTGAGAGAGAGCACACATCTACAAAAAATAAATCACCTGTTCTCTGTTGTGGGTTATTTTTTCTCTTAAATAATAAGAGTTATTTTGGGACACTTTCAAAGTGGATCTCTGATTGTAATTATAATTGACATGTTTCAGATCGTCGATATTTTTGCAAAACCGCCCATCGACCAGTTGCAAAACCGCCTAAATCGCCATTGTAGCAAAAATGCCCTGAACTCCAGGCATCGAGATTTATGCATAAAAATCGTTAAATCGTTATTAAAACAACAGATTTGTATAATAATAGCTAGACAAAATACCACCTATCAAAGCAATGCCTTCAAAGAATAAACCGTTTTTTCTCTCTCCTGTAAAATTTGAGTGCCGCAAGATAGGAGGTTTTGCAATTGGTCGATGGGCGGTTTTGCAAAAACATCGACGATATAATGTGCGTTACGTACCAATTCCGATTATATGATGATAACTTATTTAAAAAGAGAGCTAACGTTTTTTTTTTGTCGAGTGTTGTTAGTTATCTCGAAAAAAAATTTAAGAACAACAAATTTGAATAACAGAATGGCTTTTGCCTAACTTACAATTATTTTTTCTCAATTTACTGACATTGTAAAAGAGGTTTACATACAAAACATCGAGTTAGGTACTATTTTTAGCGATTTCTTACCCTGTCAAAATTTTTGCGAAGTTGAGAAAAAAATTTAAGCCATGAGGAAAAATGGATGAAGTCTTTAAATAGTGGTATGTTTCCACAGTTTGAAATAATATGTAATTTTGATTTTTCAACACTACACTCAAAGGAAGCAACTGGGAGGATCTTAAGTATGTATTAAGTTTGCTTCCTGGGGCAAAGAGAAAAACCGATTTCTAACTAAAATTGTTGAAAGTGAACTCCAAATTAAAAGTAATTTAAAATGCTGGCTATTTATTTATTTTTATTAACTACATTTTATTAATATACAAAAATATTGTTAAAAACAAGTACTCTAGCTTTTTAAAGTATTTTATGTTACTTAATTTTGATTTGAATAAAAGCGTACTGAAAAGTACTGATTTTTATTGCATGAAAAAGTCTAAGGTACTTATTTCGCACAAAAAAAAAATGACAGCCCTAGAGGAGAAGCTCGGTCAAACACTAACATATTGCTTAAGCACCGATCTACGTCACTCATACATACTTATTAAAAATGTTCAAGTTTATATCACCTGCAAAAATTTCATTGAATACGTTTATTTAAATTCTGTACACAGGTTTACAAAAAAAGTGTCTGCATATTGAACAAAACCTCTACATCCCTATGTTTTTCGGCGCGCTGAAAGCGAATCCGAGGTCCGTTAAACATCATGTCGAGGTTATTTGAGGGGCAAATATGGAAAAATTTATTGAATAAAGATAAAAATTCATATTCAGGTTTTTGTTGTCGCTGAATCCGTATATGGGGATCCCTTGATTCTTCAAGATCATCTAAGGCTCATGCAACCTTTTAAGGTCAAATTCAGAAGAATTGTATTGAATTCACAGGTTTATTTAATGAATTTTTCCTTACTTGACATTCAAATGACCTCGAACATGACGTGACGAAGGCTAACAGACCTCGGATTCGCATTCAGCGCGTCGAATAACATAGGGATATAGAGGTTTGGTTCAATATGCAGTAGCGTTGTTTTTTGTAAACCTATGTTATCTGAAAATTATAATATGAATACTTCGAGCTATTAATTTGGTTTTGATTTTTTTTTCATTCGATTTCCAGGCATAAATAATTTTTGCGATGATGTAGAATTTATGACGAAAAAACAAGTTTCCTTATACTGGCGTTCTTGTTGGGGATTCTTCACACCACTATTAATGATAATAATTTTCGTGTACTCTATGCTATCAATAGAACCTTTGACATATAGCGGAAAGCCTTATCCTGATGCTGCAAATGGTACGTGACAATTCTATATTTACATACATACACTCCTATTAGCATATAAAATGTACTTGAAGAGAAATCATGCATGTCTAACATTTTTTTGAAACTTAGTTTCCGGTTGGATACTTTTTACAATCGGCATTGCTCAATTTCCTCTCTGGGCTATATGGCACATCACGACAAACAGAAATGGAGGCGCATGGAAGGCAAGTACATATTGGGTTTAAATGCTAATAATCCACTAAATTTAGCAAAAAAAAAGCGTAGATACCACACCCCGCATTGATTTTTTACAAGCTAATTTTTTGTTTAAAGTTTTTTTTTTTACTGCACCTTCATGATACCGCCAAACACCTCGACTCCATGTAACACACGATGCGCCTATTTAAGGTTTAAACGAAAAGTCCTTGTGAATTAAATTTATCTTCAATTCCTCTTTTGGCATCATAATCAAGGGTTAACCTTATACAATTCCACCGTATGTTACATGGACACTACATGGTCACGTTTTGTCGATTAGCATCCAGGAAGGAAGACTCATCGGTATTAAAACGGATCTAAATCCAAGAAACTAGCTCGGAAAATATTAATGTACCCTAAAAGTCTAAATTGAGTGGATTATACATATATAATGCGGCAGAACATATTTTCCCAAAAATTTATTTATTATTATTTTATTTTATTTAAATATTTAGTCAATTCAGTCATCCGTCCAGCCGAATTCCAAATGGGGCCCTTCTAAAGAAAGTAACAGGAGGGACTGGATTACATTCAAAGCAAAATGTGTGGAACGGAGATCAAAGCGAGTCCATAACGGAAAGCTCAGACAATTTTGGCAAAAGCTTCACAATTTATTCAGGTCCTCGTAAGGGCATTAGTAGCAATAACTGTGTCTAAGTGTTTTATGTGGACATATGTGTAAATATAAAAACTTTTAATAACTCAAAATTGGATTGAAATAGGCAAGATAATTTCGGACGGGATTCGGTATAACATGGATAACTGCTCTGATCATTCATATGAATGGTCGCCTCAAATAACGTTGTAAGCGACAATTTGTTCAAAGATAGTTTCCTTAACTTTGAAGATATTAATGTGTATATTTTATTTTTTTTTAAGTAAGATTCTTGAACACTGCTATACCGAAAAAGTAGAAAACCAAATCAAGTCCCCGTATGTGAGTCAGTAAACAAGCTTTTTTCTATTTTGTAAAATTATAATTTTGCGGTTACAACGTTATTTGAGGCGACCATTCATATGTAGATGCATTGAGGTTTACTTCATATGTAAGGTTTAGGAGGACATGAGATGACCAAAAATGATAAAATATTACTTAACAATTTTAAAAATACAAAAGGCAGGTGAACTAAAATGCCAAAAAATTTTTTTTATTAAAGTGTTTGCGTAAGAATTAGCAAATTAATTAAATACTTATGTACATATACATCCAACCGATTATTGAAGTGGGGCGCGGAGTAAGAACCTACCTTAGAATCCGTGCACGACTCCTTCGTAGTCGATTTTTACTGCACCTGCATTCGCATTTCAACCGGAGGAGAACCTTAGGTTTATTTATTGTTCCACTTTGTTTGGTGAAATACATAATAGTATTAGGTTCATAGGCAGTTTCACCGCCCGACTTCAGATATATAATGCTGTCCTAAGCCCAATGCAATAACACTGGTTTACAGCAAAAATGTTCTATAGATGAAACAATCCAATTCCTATGTAGAATTGCTCGGTGATTCCGAAAATCGAAATAATTTTTTTTCTATGGATAACTTTTCGAGACATTTGCAATTTACCGTTATTCAGCTTAAAAAAAAGAGTGGTTTCACTTAATCACGTATATCTAACGAACCAATTGAATAATCATAATACGAGATACGGAAGATGGAAGCTAATAAAATTCTACATATACCGTATATACATCACTTTTCGATAGTCCTGATAGTTTCTGATAAATTAATTATTAATTTCTGACACCTCTTGCTTTCAATGCAAACACTCTACCTTCTTAGGTCTACATGGCGTATGAGTAACACTCTTTTCAGCTTTCATACAAAGAATTCTGCACATTTTAATTTGATCAATCCTTGCTTTCCTATTTATACATCGATTTTATTCATTACTTTTTTTAATACAAGCACAAAACATTTACACAGAAACTGTTAATTTTTTAATTTCTCAGAAACCATCAGGGCTATAGAAAACTGATATATACGGCTTATGGATAATTTTATTTGCTTTCATTTGCTTTATCTCGAATTACGATTATTTAATTGGTTCGCAAGATATACGTGATTAAGTGTAACCACTGTTTTTTTTTTAATCTGAATAACGGTAAATTGCAAATATCTCTAAAACATATCGATCAAGAAAAAAGTTAACTAAATTTTTGGAATCAGCAAGCTATCCTACATACAAATTGGATAGTGGCGTCTGGAGAATAAAAACTAAATTAAAATTTGTGATCCAGTGTAATCATTGAAATTGGTTCAAAAATTGAAGTTATATAATATACATGAAAAGTTGAGAGAACGTTCTTCTTTTTTTCATGACATAATTGCACTTCATCTTAAAAAGGCACTAGAACCTTGCGACGCACAGTGCTGTGGCTCGATACAAAATGTGGGCAAAATACAATTATAAACGGATTTAAATGAAAGCTTGTTTCCTTGTGAGCTTGAAGACTCTGAACTCAAAAATCCAATTTGTTTTTTGATACCTTCCATGCTTTGTCTTATCTTATACTGTGAAAAAGTTTAACTTTTTAATGGGTCTATTTATTTTTTGCAAACAGTATATTTTGCTAAGCTGTGCATCCTTCTTTGCACGAAAAACTTGTGCGCTTAATCGAAAAAAGCCCTTAAGCGAATTTTCTTTACTACTTCAATGAGGAAGGTATCCAAATCCCTATGAAACCTAATAATGAAAGAGCGCTTACCACGCAGAAATTACTGCAAGCGAAATTTTTTCCGGATGGTTTCTAATTATCGTTTTTGTTGTCCTGCGAGATGAGCAAAATAAACAAAAGCTTGTAAAATTAGGGTAAGTGTAGACCCAATGCATGTAAACGTAATACTTTCTTTGATAATTGATAATAGTTGCAAATTTTTAAGGCAGGTATCGCTAATGTGCAGGTATGTTGAATGTATATATCGGGGCAGTTTCCTTATAAATGTTAAAAATAATGCCGCTGATGCGCATTTTGGGGTAGGTATCTTATATGTGCACTTAAGCATAAAGGCAGCAAAACAAAATATCCTGTACCTTATTTTCTAAAGGTAAAATGACGCTTACGATATTTTTCCTGAACATGCTAAGTGGAAAGTTATCAAAGAATTAGCGCTTGCGATCGTTTTTATGTTGTATAATCTGGATATTTATACATGAAGGAGTGAAGGGTGCTTTAAGGATTGTTTGAAAAACCTGAATTTTAAGTCAATTAAATTTAAACACTGCCAATCAGCAGAATAAGCTCAACATATTTTCGACTTTACCTGTTTGGTGCATCCACTAGTTTCTCAACAAGTTGTCTTCGTAGATGCTGTGTTAAAGCTCATTCAATCATCTAAAAGCATAAACAGACGGCAGCGTTGATCCGGATCAACTCGGGAAATATCAACATTGGCGCTACTATTTGGTATTTTTTTGACGTTTTTAAAAGAGTTTTAAAAAAGTAAAATTAAATCCTTGACCAGAATAGGTTCAGTGCCAAACTCGTCGAAGATTTTTGGCAAGTTTAGAAATCAGTTGTTATTAGTTTTAAATAATCAGAGGTATGGAAGATATACCTCATAAATGTAATATAAGTAAGCAAGCGTCAAGCTGTGAGGTTCAACTTATATTGTGCTCTGATTTGCCTTTCTATTTGCAAAGTTTATTATGCGAATTCTGAGTTAAAGTTCTTACGGAAAGTGCCTACAAGCATGGGCGTAGCTAGAGGGGGGGCCTATACAAAAAAAAAATTCAAAACCAATAACTTACTTACTAAGAAATTCTTAATTATAGCTTAAAATTATTGTAGCCAATATAGTTATAAGTATATAAATATGTTGTACAAAAACTCATAAACAGAAGTTCACAAAAGTTGATATAAATCTATTCGTCGATTTAAATAGTTAACTTTTTAATGCGCATGTTTATTTTACGAGGAGGAAGCATCGAAAGCCTAACCCCGCCAGTGTGAGACTTTGACCCAAACTAAACTTCCTACTGTCATCTACCGTTCCCCTACCCGTACCACCGTCAAGGATTTCGTCGGAATTATAACACTGTGTGACTGATAAGGTTACAGATCTATTCTCTTCTTCTTCTTCTTATTTGGCGCTGCAACCGCCAAAGTTTTATTTGGCCGAGTTTAACAAAGCACGCCAGTCGTTTCTCTTCTGTGCCAACTGACGCCAATTGGAAATGCCAAGTGAAGCCAGAATACTTTCAGAGCTGGAGAGCCGGTGTCCATTCGAACGACATGGTCAAGCCAGTGGAGCCGCTGTATTTTAATTCGCTGTTCTATGTCCATGCCGCTGTAAAGCTCATACAGCTCATCGTTTCATCGTCTGCGGTACTCGCCGTCGCCAATGCGTAAAGGCCCGTAAATCTTCCGCAAAATCTTTCTCTCGAATACTCCAACGCACGGGCATGATGAGTAACTTATAGAGTGTGGTTTTCGTATGTCGAGAGAGGGCTTTACTCCTGAATTGCCTACTCAGTTCAAACTCGTACTTGTTGGCAAGACTGATTCTGCGTTGGATTTTCATACTGATATTATTATCGGTGTTAATGCTGGTTCGCAAGTAAACAAAATTCTCTACTTTCTCGAAATTATAACTGTCAACAGTGACGTGGGTGCCAAGGCGCGAATGTGCTGATTGTTTGTTTAATGACAGGAGGTACTTCGTCTTGTCCTCGTTTATCACCAGACCCATTCGCTTTGCTTCCTTGTCCAACTTGTAAAAGGCAAAACAAGCTTCGCGGTTTTTCTTACCGATGATGTCAGTGTTATCGGCATAAGCCAGTAATTGTACGATCTTGTAGTAAATTGTTCCTGAGCGGTTCAGTTCTGCAGCTCTTATTATCTTCTCCAACATCAGATTAGAGAAGTCACATGAAAGGAAGTCGCCCCGTCTGAAACCCCGTTTGGTGGCGAAGGGCTCGGAGAGGTCTTTCCCAATTCTGACGGAGCTGGTGGTATTGCTCAACGTCGTTTTACACAGCCGTATGAGTTTTGAGGGGATGCCAAATTCAGACATAGTGGCGTATAGGCAACTCCTTTTACTGCTGTCGAAAGCGGCTTTAAAATCGACAAATAGGTGGTTGTCGATCCTTTTCCCGCGGGTCTTTTCCAAGATTTGGCGAATTGTAAATACCTGGTCTATGGTGGATTTTCCAGGTCTAAAGCCACACTGATAAGGCCCAATCAGTTCATTGACGATGGTATTCAGTCTTTCACACAATACATTCGATAAAACCTTGCAACCTATGCTTAGAAGGCTGGTAGTTGGCACGCATAACGGGGTCGCCTTTCTTGTGAATTAGGCAGAGCGCACTTGAGTTCCAGTCGTCGGGCATGTACCTTATTAGCTCCCTGCCATCGTAATTGAATAGCTCAGCTGACAGGTCGTCAACTCAAGCAGCTTTGTTACTTTTCATCACCATAATCGCTATTCGTACCTCGTCATAGTCAGGAGCTGCGAAATCGACTCCATCGTCATCGACTGGGGACTCGGGTTCGTCTTCTCCACTTATTTTAGTGCTTCTGCCATTAAAAAGGGTCGAAAAGTGCTCCCTCCGTAATTTGAGTACTTTCTGGACATCGGTCACTAGGTCGCCATCGTTGTTCCTACAGGAAATTTGAAACCTTCCGTAAGTCGCTCAACTCCCTGCTAAAAATTTCTGGTGTTTTTTTTCTGTCGACCAGCATTTCAAGCATTTTTCTCTGCAGCTTCTTGACACTCCTCATCGTACCAGTAATAAGCGGGAAATGTGGTTCCACTGCTTGCGTATATCGGTTTGTTGAAGAGTGCTCTCTTACAGCAGGTGTGAGAGTCGAGCGGCCAATCCATTGGCCGTCTGTTTTGATTGCAGCTTTTCGACGTTGAACTTTCGTTGCATTGTTGGGGGTCCTTTTTTGCTGCATCGAGGTGGGGTCGTATATTGGTTGCATCAATATAGTGCTG